CCCTACGTAAACAGCAGATACGACACGCTACGAGGGCACGCGTACACAGAGAAGTGTACGCGTACAGAAATGTCTACTCAGTTGAATTGCAAGATCCCTTGACTCGAGGTGGAGTCTTCCGAGTGATACCAAAAGAGCGTCGTTAACTACTGACTTCGCCATGGAAAAATAATAGTTAAAACAAGAGTACAGCTACTATTAATATCATAAGCTGATGGCTAGTTGCTGATCCCGCGAGGTGGATCTGCACAGCGGAGCGATCGACGTTTTTCTCAATGAGAGACCTTTCCGATAGACTTGGTGCAGTAACCCCAAACCGCGGGACGAGCATAGACAGCTCAGAAGGCTACATCCCGATAAAAATAAGCTTAAAAGCTGTAACTCATAGCAACTGGTAACCCTCTGATTCGGGGAACACAGATGAATGAGATACATACACGATAAATGATGAACTAAACACATGGTGTTATGTAGAGAAACCCTGTCTTCACTAAACTCGCGCACTAGTCGTCCTTCTTGTCCACCTCTCCCTTGTGGACCTCAGCCTTAGCCATAACGCCGACCATACCAACTTGGCCCCCTGAGATCGCTGTTATCCAGTCGTAAATCTCAGTAGGTAGCAAGGCCGACATCAACAACGCGAAAGCCAGAGGCCATCGCGGGAGACATAAAACCTACACCCACAACACAGTCGATCTACGGACTCATGAGGAAAAACGATCTACCTCCTTGCCGTTGATGATAGCCTCGTTAATGACGGCCTTCGCGACGTAGCTACATTCCAACGGTGGACACAAGAACAGTACTAATTTCTCTGGTAAAGTAGGATATGCAAAGGCACCATCGAACATCTAAAGACAACAACCGCAATAAAGAGAGTCTCCAAGACAGGGAACTTACAGGGCTATCTTTAACAAGGAACGGGCACACTACAGAGAACCTCACTGGTTGTTTCTGTTGACGGTTCTCCAACCTCATACACTGATGCAAAGTTAATAATGCTGCTCTGAAAAAATAAGACAACAACAGTTCGCTCAAACCTGAACGTCAAGACGTACTTAGAAGCACAGTAGGCCGAAAGGAAAGCACTAGCTGAGAATGCCATGGCACTCGAGATGGAAACGAATGAAATCAAGTTGAGCGTATTGGCATCGGAAATTGACTCGTGCAGGAATAGGGAAAAGAGGAGCTGATGCGACGCTACATTCACCTGACATGATTGTGAACTGCAGTGAATCTTCTGAAAGCCTACATCTAAAGTTTGCATAAAGTTGGTATGAGAAATGTCCTCTGTGGGGCCTGCATTGAGTATACCAGCATTGCAGATTACTATGACCTGAACATGACAACGACGAATGCATGCACCACGTAAGCCATGATCAAACATGGATATAATACCCAACGAGACTCCATAATGGGCACTACGACATGAGTTTGATATCCTTCATTACTATCGAAAATTACGTTCGAAAGGCTGAACATTACAACCATGGTATATAGCACATCGAAACCGATCTCCTATATACCGGAAAGATGGCGATTAACAAAATGGCGATTAAATACGTAGTAATCTAAACTGTACAAAACGAAAATTTCTATTTTTCAGGAAAAAAATTCATGATCACATTTTTTATCATTTCAATGATAATCTTCAACATTACAACTTCTGCATATCTCCATCTTCACACAATCTATCCCTATCTATTCTTATCCAGAAAAGAGAAACACCTCGTCAGTAAACATTCGGAACATCTCCCCCTCCCTCACCCGTTTAGCTCCCGAGTCCACCACAGCTTTGACTCCCGCTTTCACTTCGTCCTCATTAGTAACGTCAATCTGGCTGTAATATATCTTATTGTTGGCACTCATTAGCTCCACGGAATCTTCTTTCCTTGAGTGAGCTCGAGTGTCCCACGCGTGAATTCTACGTGGATGAACTCGGCCTGAACAGAGCAGACGTCGAATAACTGCTGGACAAATGGTCCTCATCTACTCTGGCTCCCCAGTAGTTCCGTGAGCACAGCCTGGCCAACTCCACCCGATGCACCAGTCAACACTACCTGATCGAATGAAGAGCCTCAATTCGAAGAGAACACACAACGGTTCTAAGAATTCACATCAGTTAAATTTCGCTCCTGTCAGTGATGTATCTATACTATGATACTATCATCATTATAAACGCGTAGCTTTCTGGGAGTACAAAGAGCGCACCTCAAAAAGGAAGTGATCTGATAGTGCCTCGCGAGTTGCACCAATCGTTCATCTGATTATGACACTCGGCCACGTCTCCCCGATCAACAACTCCGTGGAGCTATCAATGGTTCCAATCGTAACCCCAACACATCCTCGGCAGACTTCTCCATGAAATCTGGAGCCATGAAGCGGCATGTTCGCATTACCAGGTGCCTTTCAGGTTCATACAAACATATCGGACGCCAGAGATACTTGCAGACGGACTTCGGATATATTTGTGGAGAGGCTCGGCTTGTTGGAAAAAGCCGAAATGCCTTCGTTGTTAATCCGAAACGACGTGTTGACGAAATTTCGTCTTTAGTTGGATGTGAGTGATTCCAGCGCAGCCACGAGGAGAACCCACCTCGTTGGACACACAGGCCTAAGTCTCTCAGATTGCACTGCAGGGAAGTCTGCAATCACTGAGGACTCTCCTTCTTGCAAAACTTCGTAGATGACAAAAGTCTTCCAGGTGAGTCACGAACGAAAGTAGAGAATGCCTGGCACAGCGCCAGAACATCCTCATATGCAGTTTGGCTTCCCTTGTTCGATACGTTCTTCATACCATAGCACAGCGTCAAGTCGAAGAGATGCAGTGAACAACATTCGAGCCTCAAATTTTGAGCTGTGACTCCGGAATAGCGACCGGACGACAAACTGCAGCTGCTGCGAACAAGTGATTCAGGTTGAAACCACTCAGTCCTGAAATTTTCAGCTCCGATGCTGTACCAGTAATGAACACCTCGTGCATGCTAAAGTCAGCAGTGGGGCAAGAGCGAATGCACGCCGAGACTTGTTGCTCCACAGCATTGTCGATCGATCCGTCGCACATGAAACTATGCCACCTTGCGTGCTATATTACAGTGAACAATTTACTCTCATAACTCCATGTACGACGGCTTCCGATAACAGTATGATACATCCTTTCACCTCCCTGTAAAATAACCATCTAGGTCTCTATCCTCGATCAGCAATGGGCTTGCGTCCGAACCAACCTCTTGAAACAGAACTCCAGGCTGTGGACTTGTGACGAGGTCGAGAAGGTGCGTTGCACTTGAATCCTCGATGCCTCCGGGTAACGAAGCCTTGCCTGGGAAAGAACTGCGAGTTCTAGGATACGTCGAGCAATGCTTCGGAATTTGTCCTGCACTGCTTAGGAGCCACCGTTGATAACATGACG